ATTTTGATATATGATTTGTTAAAATTTTTGTAACATTCGTTACCTTCGGTAACGAATGTTTCAACACCTTTGAAGACTAATAGAGGACATTCAGGCGTAGATTGATACTGGTTGCGTAGTTGTTGTCGGTCGTTATATAAATATTAACAGCTACATACTAATTCATTCCATTTGATTCATTGTTATTGCATTCTAGAAAACAAACTCACCAACACTGTCTAGACTTTAGAAAAAAAATCATAAAAAGGCAGTACCGAACTCCAGATGTCAAAATTTGAATACTGGCGCAAAATATTTGACCACGTATATGTGCAGAAGATGTTTGAACTCATAAATCTTTCTTTTTTAAGAGGTTTGGTAACGAATGTTTCGGTAACGGTTGTTTCATTTAATCATTTTCTCTTAAATAGTAAGCTAACAATAAGACATTGTTAAATCATGGTTGGAGCATGGAATACAGTTGTTGGATAGAAGAAAAAGTGTCACATGTTTAACTATGATATCATTCTATTTCATCTATTAAACTAATACAACGAATGTTTCATGCCTATCCATACGCATGTAAAATAGGAAGATAGAATGTAATTTCAAAGTATTGGTAACATATGCAAGGCTTTGTACCATTTATTTTTAATTTTCAAGAAGTTTCCTTCAAAATAAAACGTATTCCAATCTTATAGGCATACAATACCGAATACTTATACTATATTTAATGTCACAGTCCGTTTTTATTTTGTTTCTGGCGACATGGGGATATCAAATCATATTTAAGATTCAACTGTTATTTTTACAAAAAATAGCCATTTAAGTGTAATTATTCGATGTTGGCGACAGTAACGTACGTTTCAAAAAATCACTATAGGCCAAATAAAATATCTCAATATGATTTGTTCACTTCATTTTTGTATTTTTGCCTTAAAGGTTACATATTCATGCATTCATTCAAAAAGTATTTTCTTTGACATTTCATTATTTTTTTACGCTTAACCCCCAGCGACATCATTTGCACCATTTTAGTGAGCTTGAGTGATAGATTATTATACCTCTGTGAATTTGTGAATTTTTTTCTTTAAAAAGAAAATAAAATAAACTTGTATTTTTTCTAAACAGCCCTTACCGTAGCAAACCTTTTGTGCTATTTGCCAATGGTGAAATAGTAATCGAACTATTATATTCATCGGCAGCATTCTATTTTCCTTGCGTTTTTTTCTCGGAACTCTTCTGGTTTTATCGAGATCGTGACGTGACACAAGTAAAGTCTCCGGTATAATAAGACACCTAATTACTGATTTTTCGGACAATATATAGGAAGTTTATTGACCCCTACGACAGCAACTATTCCCTCTGCTGCGCATGCATTGGGAAAAAGTTGCTGTCTTGAGGGCCAATAAACTGTAAATTCAATTCAAGTGTTATCAATTCTGTACACGTCAAAGAGGAGTAACAGTAAACAGAAACGGGTATTGAGCGCCATATTTAGTATTATTCAATCAGAAAAATTGAATAAAGGCTGTGAAGTTACCTTATGAAAACTTTAACAATTACACTTCACATTAATATTGTACCGCGTCAATTTTCATGAAAAGACGAACCTAAACCAAGGTATCAGCAGAGGCTTAGGATAGTCCGCACATTGCAACAAATACCGGTAGTAGATATCACATCCTGCATTCGAAAAGGCGTTCGTTCTACATATATTTTTGTATTATCATACGATTGAATTATTCCTAGATCTCTGGTTGGCTGATATCCAACATTGTAGAAAAAAATACTAAGGTATGTTCACCTGCATTTGACCTTCCTGGTGAACATAGGGATTTATTTTTTCTAGGAATTAATAATGGGATGAGAACTTCCGAATTGATACAACTAGTTCTAAAAATTATTTAACCTGTGCCGGACTTCCACTCCTGTGAACATAACAAAATGAACATCAATTCAAGCACATAGAATCGGGATAAGAAGTGAACCCACCTTTTCAATGCTTTTTTTTTTTTTACTTATAATGTCCCCCTTTTTAAATTGATGTTACGTGCCTGACATTTATTCTTTCTATATCACACCGAAGATAGAATAAGAAATTCCAAGTCAATTCAACAGGTTATATTTATCTTAACCCCGATTCGCTCATTACGCTTGGCTAGGAATTCAGCAATCATGCAAACAAGGAAGGTGGCATGGTTTGCTTAATAGGTTTGTATTATTTAATCATTAAATCATACAAGAACGATTCTTGCTGTTTTTGATGTCAGTACGATGATTTAGCCACCCGAGGAATAAAATATTCACCGAACCCGATATAATTGTATAATGTTGATAGTAAACTGCAACTTCAGTTTACTACTCTACATTACAAAAGTACAAAATACGCAAAGTCTGATTTTTAACATAAATACATCAAGCATCGAGCATCAAACATCAACATGTTGTAAACAATTCCATTATCGGATACAGAAACACATTTCATATAAAAAAAAAAAATATGGAAGCAACAACAAAGAGCTTTTTGGGTTTAATTTGCTGTATATTTTATCCACCTCCTAACCCTTTACAATCGTCTCTGCAGATCAATACACTCACTTGTTTTGAACTTTCTGCCATTCCACAAAAAATTCAAAACAAGCGAGTTTATTGGTATGTAGGGTTAGGAGGTGGATAAAATATATATGTTGATTAAAGAATATGTCTAGAATTAGGGAGTGAAAGGTAGTTGATTGACCAATGCTGGAAAGTGGAGAAATTCTCCGCAACCGTGGGCAGAAAATCGAATTGTACCATATTTGCATCACGGGATCTGTAGCGTTATGCTCAAAGACTAAACATAAATCGCTACAGTTCTGCAACTACTACATGTAATATGTATTTTATTAAACATTGTTTTAAAAATTAAAACACACGATAATTAATTCAACGTTTGTAAAATCAGTTCGTCGTTTTGATATTTTTTATCATTTACTGCAAGTTTTTCATATTTTCATATTTTTTAGACTTCAAAATATGAACATGTGTTTGTGAAATATATTTTCAGAAATATATGTTTAGTGATGAAAACTATTCTGTGAATTGACTGTAAAATGTCCAAACAATATCTGTAACATGTTGATAGACATAATGATTTGAACTATAAATAGTATCAAACATTTACTGCAATTTATTTTTTTAGTAAAGATAGATGAAGCTCATTGATAATTATAAAACAGTTTTGTTGCAATCCTGACTGCAGTAAAATTTTAAATAAAAACCATAAAACACAAAATTTCACAAGGTGTTGGCAATATCAAGTGGTAACGAAATTGTGCATTATTTATAGTCCATTACACATGTACTTATTAACTGAAACACATGAAAGTATTCAAACTTGGCTTTATATCTAGACTTATTCCCTATTTATGTTAAAAACTAGCTAAAATATGTATTGAGAAGATAAATATATTTTAAAGAATATTTTACTTTAAAGGACAAACACTGTAAGCAACTGAGGTCAACCAGAAACATTCTACTTATCAATCTTTCAATTTTTCAGAGTGTTTTTTACACTCATAAAATTTTATACTCATAAAAAAGTTCAGAGAAAAGATAAAACACATCTGGATTGATAAAATTGAAAAAAAGACAGATTTAATAATAAAACTGGAAATAAGTTAGTACTAAATTATTCATATAGATCATTATTGATCTAAAAAATATTTATTAGTGTGAATAGAAGTCTTTTCATCATATAATTTGGATCTTTAAAAAATGTGTTGCACTCCTGACCATAGAAATATAGATCAGAAACACAGAGACTCTGTAATTGATAGATCTATTTGGTAAAAATGATCTCTGTGTCCTTATTTTCCAAATAGAAATCAGAAAATCATATACTGATAAAAAATTTTCCATGCTAGCAAGCAACACATCAAATGTTGCACTCCTGACATAATTGGGTATGCACAGATAGTTGACTCTCATTAATGCTGCTTGTAATTTATGTAACATTTTTAAGTTTTAAATGGTATGTCGGTTTTTGTTTTAAAATTTGAAAATTCTTTGTTGACATACATATTTTCAAAATCAATTTTTTGGCATCACTACATTTTTTTCTGTTGCTCTCCTGACATGGTATAACAGTTTTTCATCATCAGCAATCACCACAACTTAATCAAACGAAAGTTTCTACAGTTAACAATTTAAAGCTCAATACGTTGAATATTATCAGAAAAGTCTTTATTTCCTACATAAACCGTTTTTAGTTTTTTCACAGATCTTCAAAAACTATCGAATTTTCAAAATGTCACAAAAAGGTGTTGTACTCCTGATATTTTCAAAAGCATCATTTTTGGATATAACTATTTTGTGCCTTGAGATCTCAATGAGATATTTGGCAGGTATTTAGACAATATCAAAGGACATATGTTGAGATGCAGAAATTCATTCCCATTGCCTGTATTTTTTAGTACAGGTTGATAAATATGTTTCTGGTCATTTTTTTAATTCACTTATAGTCAACTGCTTAAAATATTGATTTTCAAGATTATTTTGTGAAACGCTATCCATTGTACTCAATTGAAATCCATTGAATAACCGTTAAGGAAGCAATTTTGTGTAAATTTACTTTTGCAGGTAAGAATTAGGTTGTGATTTTTGGTTTTTTGTTCGAAAATACTTTTCATATGCTTCTTATATAGAATTCCTATGGGTAATGTATTATAATAATATTTTGTGGATATATATGCCATGGTTTACTTTGCAGCATCTTCCTATTTCTGAAACAAATATACATCTAACATAGTCAATGCGGACATGTCATTACATATCTTTTTATTGATCTTTGTACAATGTATTACCCCTAACATAATTAACATAATCCACATTTAATAATGTAAAAGATTAATAGTTTTGATACTTAGTACCCAGAAGAATGAATAGTATAAGAGACACCGTCATTATAAATAGGAAGAACATAAAGAAAAAAAAATTGTCCAAAAGGTTGGCAAATTCTTCCCATGTCATTTCCTTACTTCTATCGTCATTCGGTAAGTTTTCTTTTTCTTCAGGCATAAACTCTTTGGACGATAGATTATCATTACGGTTTATGTAAAATTCGCCGGCTTTTCCTTCGGGGACATTGTCTGTTTTATCATAATAACAAGAGCGTCTAGCGCAAAACATTTTTGCAAGACAGTATGCAAACGCCTTGGTACATGGAGATAGGCCCCCTTGGTGGGTTGAGACCCGAGATCCAGTAATAACGATGAGAATCGACAAAGTTGATGTTGTCAGAACAACTGCCAAGTATACGGCTACAAGAGAAATAGGATCTTATCATTATCATAAACAGTGTTAAGTTTGTGAAAATGTCGATGCATATACATCAGCAAAAATATCAAATCTCACTTGATAAATTTATGAATGTGTTTTGAATAATTGATATTGATTGAAAAAATCTGAAAGGAAAATGATTCATTCAAAGTAAACCCCTTTTGCATTCCTTGTATAATAAAGCTACATATTTCAAATTTAGACTATTTAGGGAATATTTTCTCCAAGAAATATGTAGAGATAGGTAAAAAAGACATTTTAGCTTACATAAGTAGCACACAGACACAGACGTGCTAGGTATATGGTCAGCAATCAACGTCAGATATACAGCGTATGACAACAGTACTGTCAAGGAATACCCAATTTTCTCCTCTATCACCCTCAACTTAAACACAAAAGGAATGAGCATGCCCATCAGAAACACGGGGAATATGGTGTTAATCGTGTGAAACAAATAACGTCTTTTCAACTGTAGTCCAAACGATAAAGTTGCAAATTTGAACCCATTTCTGGTCCTCGTTCTATCCAGCGAGGATCCCCATGCAGAGACAATATCCCATTCGCCATTCATGACGTAGTCAGACAGATCAACTACGATTTCGTCGTAGTGAAGGTCAATTTCTCCCTGAGTGTAGCCGGAAGTTGTTAAATTGATGTGACAAGTCTGTTTGTCAAACGGATAATATGTGACGTCACATTCACAAGACACTTTAAATACCCCTGCTGGAGTGCGTCTTACTTCTCCATTTGGTTTAATTCTCATTGGCATATTTTCATCGTTGATGACCGATAAATCTTCCACACTAAAATTAAAATGAAGCAATTAAATTTAAATTGAAAAAAAGTCGGTTAATTGTAATAGAAAGAATTGATTTTAATTTAACAGTTTAACTGTTACAACAGGGTAATGATATTTTCGTTGTGTTTCTTTATTTCAAATCACGAACCTAAATCTCCCTCATCGTATTTTCTAAACAATAGTGCATCGTATGTGAACAATGATTAGGTTATGGCTACACACAAATATGGCGAAATCTGCGATAAAATATGACGTCACAGTTAGCTGAACATTAGAGCTTATGATTTCAGATTTTTTATTTAATGATACATTTTAACTCCTCAAAATAAATTGAATCCTTCAGGAAAATTAATTAAACAAAATCTTGTCAATTTCTGGTGCTATAAAACAGGAAGTATTTCTTCTCAGCAATATTTTTATTTAGTATTTGAGGGTGACAAACAGTCGTTTTTAAATCCCGGTCAGTCTTTTCTTTGTCATTTTTGACATTCAACAAAAAATTCTAAAATTCAACTTTGACACATATTGTTGCGAAGATCAAACGTTTGTGTACTATAATACATGGAAAGTGCAGTTGAAATCATGTGGTACATGTAACCATGAATCAATATCAATGACATTTTTCAAAAAAGGTGTAAATTTCCAAAATAATAACTTGGATGCTGCCTTACTTACCCGCAAAATAGAACTAAAATTTAGGTTTAGATTAAGAATATTATATTTAAAGTATAAGGGTCATTCAAAAAGTTCGTAGACTTTTGTCAACATTTTATTTAATGTCATATAATAACCAAATTTTTAGGCATACCTTAATTAACAATAAATTAAAATAATTTGAATTTAAAAAAATCAACTATATCATGAAAAATATCCATAAGATTTCAAATTTAAAACTGCGAAAATAGGGTTACGGAGCACGGATAAAATTGAGTAATTCTTTTAAAAGACACTAAATAATGTCTATAGATATATCTTTAACAAATGGCGCTTAAACTTAATGAAATTTAAACGCTTAAATATACTTTTGGTTTATAATTTTAAGTACCATATTGAAATGTAATAAATTGCTTCTTTAGAGAGAAATCAGTTTCAGAAGACAGGTAGTCTTCTTTGAAAAAAAAACTAAAAAGGTGACGTTAAAGGACGCCACGGAACAGCGAGTAGCGACATAATTTTGTTTCGCACTCGGGAAACCTCTAAACAAACTCTGAAATTGTTGGTGAAGCCAGGAATTATATCAGAAATGGGTCGTGCATTTGTTTATTAATGGTAAAGACAGTGTCTGAGTGGTAGAAACGTGAACCGGGCGATGTACAGTCCGTGCGGAAACAGATTTTCATTAAAAACCTTGTCAAAAGACATTGTGACGTCATGGAAAGTGATAGGCGTGGAACTTAAAAAAGTAGAGCTACGCAGTAAGAATTTGAAACACTGACAAACTTATATGCAACTCGAACAATTGTTAGCAAACTATATGCAAAGTACTATCGACACCTTTTTATCGAGTTAATAAGGCGCTACAAACCCTGTGAGAAATGACGAGGGAGAGTAATTGTGAGTAACTTTCACGACGTTGCTTTTGACGTAACAATGTAGTTAAGAGTGCTTCGTGGTGAAATAATTTCTAATTAATCAAATAGAATGAAACTTCTCACAGCAACAATATAAATGTTTTTTTTTTTTTTTTTTTTTTCACTTGAAAATGTGTTGATGATAAATCTTATAGAAATGATATCATGAAGAGCAATATTGTCTTCGTATTTTTTGTATGACTCTCGTAACACTTGCTTCTGCAAATCTGCTTGAAAAACGGATTGAATTTACTTATTCATATAGTACTAAACATTTAACTTCACCAATTACTGTTTGCTTAAATAAAGGTCATATTGATGATTCCTTTTTTTCGCTTAAGGTATTAAATCTATTATTAGATTTTTTTTTTATTATTACCTAGGTAAAAATAATGCTTCGTTGACACTTTACTAGCTGATCATAGACAAATTATACAGTGATAAAAGTATATCGGTGACTCTGAATATGGTATATTTTCAAATACAATTAGATGATTTAGATATATAAATTACTATAGTTTATTACATTTGTCAGCAGTAAAATACTGTGTTATGTTTATTGAATAAAAGTGATATTTTTTCAAAGTGTAAAAAAAAAAAAAAAATAGAAGAAGCGCGGCAAAACGCTCGACCCTTCTCCCTTTCACGAAGAGTGTTGTAAAAAATATATTCCCTGAACTGTTATTATAAGAAAGCGAGTAAATAAACAATACTGAGACTGAAACTGCTAAAGTTTCTCCAAATTGTTACAAATTGTTGGTATCCATGTTTACAAATTGCATAGCTATGATACCTCAATCGCTTCACTATGACATCAGCCTACGACACGGCGTTAAGAAAGACAGAGGTAAAGAGAAAATCAAAGAAAACTTAATAGAAATTTCAGTGGTTTGTACCTGAATATGGAATTTATTTTACTTATGAGACAGCTTTTTCTCTTGAGTGAAGATATAAAAAAGTCATGATTAACTATTGAAATGGTTTCCGTATTTTCAACTATAAAACGTTCAAAATAATCTATTCGTTAAGTTAATCAAAATTTTTGCAATAGTAAATCAAAGCCTTTACGAAAGTTATTTGCGTATTTTTTTATAATCAAGAAATAAAAATTCTTTAATTTCATACATAATATTGTTCAATAGTCAATGGTGCTATTCTATATTCAAATACTATTACCAAAATTACCATAATTGATTTAGAATTTGAGAGACATATTAATGTTCTGAATATCAAACAGTTTTGAAATAAAGTGTCATAGGAAATTAAAGGTCCATAGAAAAAGATTCAAAGTAGCTAATCCGAATATAAAGGTGATGTATTAAAAAGGACTAAAAATAACAAGTGTAATTTTGTGTCGGGACCTGCTTACATAGGATAGAATTAATATACAATCCATCTGTGACCCCAGGTCAAAAACAGTTACTCAAAAAGTTTTTAGGTACACACCTATATATTTAAATAAAAAAGAGTTGTTTTTCAAACTCCTAAATGTGGGATAAAAATTGTCAAAATACCACTCTTACGATATTTGGAAAATATTCTCAGGCAGGGTATATTCGATTTTTATTTTGTTTGCTTTTTATCCTTTTAACCAGGTTGGATAACTTTTTAAGAGAGTTTTAATTTTATTTATTTATTTTTTTTTTACAAAAGACCAGATTAAAAAAAAACTCAAGATAGATTTTAATTACAACCCAGGTTACATTGTACAACTAGCGTTTGGGGCTGTTTTATAAACTGCAAAGCAGTAAATAAAACGTCAACCGTTCTAAGTTGTGAATAAAGGATGTTCAAAGTTCGTTTACTCGTCTGTCTTCATTACATATATCTTTTGTTATATGTCGTGTGTTTTCTGTAAACTTCTCACATTTTGAACTTTTTTTCAAAATCACTTTGTCATCTCTAAGCAAACGTGCCAAAAATTATTCACATGTAATTGGAAGTCAGATTTGTTCATATACGGGACCATGTCCTTCTTTAAGAAAAGATAATTCAGGAAAAGTGAAACTGTCCTCCTTTAGGAAAAGATAATTAAGAAAAAGTGAACCTGTCATGTCGTCATTCTTCTAAAGAGCCATAGGGTCAGATAAGTTAAAAAAAAAATGTGAAGGCTTATATAATGTACATTCAAAGTTATTGAAATCATGACCTCTTCTTTTGGAGGGTGATGCTACAATAGAAACTTAAAGTTTCACTGCGTTACCAATTTAGAGGGGGTTAAATTTTTGTTGTTTTCGTGGTATGGAGAGACCCACGAAGTCTTGCCCTCCACGAAATGTCAAAGTTCAAATACAGTTTCTCAGTACTTTTTAACCACAAAAGCAAATCATTCGAACCAGTAATTTTTCCTAAAAGCCACGAAAATGTGACCCCACAAAATAGATGATTTTGCAGTACAAAAAAACTTTTTAATTATCTTCTCTTCACGAACTGAAAACCCATTATTAGTAATGTTACTAAACAAACATCCAAAGAATCCAAAGAATATTCATAGGAAGGACGTATCTAGGCTTCTTACATTTGGCAGGGCGGGTCCATATTAAGGGGCTAAATTTTTACATTGAAATTCATATAGAATTATGTTTAATTATACTATTTATTTATTTATATTATTTAATTATACTATTTATTGGCAATCCTCCCTAGGGATTGCAGATTCAAATTTGTTCAGATAATTGCCCCCTGGATAAGGTATGTTTCAAGAGTAGGGATCAAAGTTTTGGATTGGAATAAAATTTTAAAAAAAAATTAAAAATACGCTCCAGAAAAACAAGTAAATTATTGATGATATTTATGTCTTTATGTAATGAAGAGACGACTTTTTTTAAAAGCAAGGTCCCTATGTAAAGGATGAAAAACAATACATGTAATCTTGTTATGATGGGTATACAAATACATGTATAATGTTGTAAATAAAAATCTACATCACTGAGAAAATTTGGGCCTATGCAAGTCAGGTAAGCGTTGTAGCTTACTAATTTCTTGTTCATTTAAGAGTTTTGTCATGCACCTGCAAAAACTGTATCTGTGTTATTCCATGACAGTTTTACTCCCACAAACAAACGTCAAGGAAAACATTATTAATACCTTCTCTGCTTGAAATCATCTTGTAAGTGTGTTTGTCAAATTCGTGAGGAAATGTATTAAAACAGAATATAATTTTTTAGTATATCAATTTCAGAAAGTATCTTTTCTTCAAAGCAGATTCAGAGAGACAAATTAATATATATTAAGCCAAGTCTTAACTTTGACAATAGATATCCATGCATATCGTATTACCATAATGTTCAAAGTATGATATTATCTTACGAGTTCTCTACATAGATTGCTGGTGTCCATGTATTTTCCTCTGTATTAAACAGAAAGGGAACCGGCGTATAATCATGTTTTGTAATCCACGCCAAACGAGGATCCAGCCACCTCTACAAAACACAGTTACCCTTCATTTTGACCAAAATAAAGCATTACCCTTCATTTTGATCAAAATAAAGCTATTTTGAAGCCATTAAAATTAAAGAAAACTATCATCTGATTCTACCACTTCTGCCAAGTACTAATGTATTTTTCAAGAGAATTCCGTCTAACAAATCAAAAAAAAGGACCACAAAGGAATCAATTTGTATTGTAGACGTAAATTTTCCCGCGTGGAATAACTTACGCTATGTACATGTACGTGGTCTCAAATTTTCCATAGACATATGACGCAATGTACTTAAAACGCATTTAGTTCAAATCAATATTTGCATATTTTTTCTAACGTTGATTGAACAAAAATTGTGATTCCGCAGAATTGGGACCAGGTGGAAAAATGTACATTTACAGTATTTGCTTTAAACTATTATGTACTAAAAGTTCAGATTACATTTGGAATAATCAACTCTACATAATCTTTTTTCCATCGACTATACGTCAGCCTAATGATTTCATATTTTAAAATTTGAGAAAATTTATATAAAATTCTATATTGATTACTAAAACGAACAAACAACATACCATGGACAGCATTCCAGACACAGAAAGTGTTTGATCAACAATGTTCTGTAAAGATAAATCGAAAAGGTTGAGCTATTTTTATAAAGACGTAGATGGTTTGTTAAAGCATAAGCTGGAAAATTTTGCAGTGCAAATTATTTTTACAATAGGACTATGTCCGCAAATTGTCAAATAAAACAGGGTTTAGGAATGCCCTTTTTCCCAATTGAATTGCAAAAGGCATTATTCAGGATTACTCAACTCTGTACAATATAAGAGGGTTGTCCGTAAAGTCCGTGGACAACCTTGATAATAACTGGCAAACATCGATAAAATATATCAAAGTATTATTTTCGTTAAATTCGTGTTTCATTTCGTTAATAGCAAGTTTTCATCACAAACAGACACAAATAGTTATATTTTTATCAGATAAAAAAAAGACGCACACTCATACCCGGAACACTAAAATAAAAATCCTTGACGTTACGTCAAAAGCTAATTACATTTAACCTATCTCAACGTAGTCACCGTTTAACACATTACTTATGTCGCTTTAACCAGTCATCATCAAAAATGTGAACGAACTGTTTTGGTTTCATAGATGAAATAATATTTAACATTTCCTGTCTCAGATCCTGAAAATCATAATACCTCTGTCTGCGTAAAAACGACTTTATACATGGAAATAGAACTGTTAGTCGCCGATCACTGTCAATCACGTCACGAACTTAATTTTTTACAGACTGCAATCTCGGAAAGATGGTTTTCCTTCACGCAGGTCATCCTGTAAACTGTCCCTTCCGTTCGAAAATCTTCTGTGCCACTTAAACACTAAAGAACGGCTTACTTTACTATGTTTTCCCGACTGTTTAAGGAATTTATGAGTCTCTGTTGGTGTTTTTCTGATGTCTACACAAAATTTTATCACTGCTCTCTGCTCCACCTTTTCCGAAAATGTCCCTTTTTCGAACAACGACGATCCTGTCTTCATAGATTCTTACCTCGATTTCTTTGCCATTTCGAAACTTTGAACATTCAAATTTTGCAGGTTTGATGCTAAAACTTTTGTCAACGTCAAACTGTGAAAGTCATCCACATTTTTTGCGGAATTTACAAAATACAAATGAAATGTATAGAGTGAAAAATAACGTTTTAAATAAAGCTTTGTCGTGCTCCGGGTCACCATCCCAAGTCTAATAATGAACTCATAATTGTAATTATACATTTAAATTTGAATAAAATTTTACATTTTATAATTCACATATAGTAAAGGATTATGAATATGCTAACAATAAATAGCTATAACACAACTTTTATTCGTATTTTAGCTTGTCCACGAACTTTACGGACAACCCTCGTAAATTAGACTCACAATGATGACATATATAATAAAATCTATGTAATTTTAATGTTAGTCTCTTTAAACAAAGTCTTTCTTGAAATGGTTAAGATATTATATAACATTTAATCATAAAATGATTTCTTGTCAAACTTACAACCATTGTCGTTTCCCTAACAAAATATAAGTATACATGTAGTTAACTATAATTTATTTTAGTTAGCTATTTTAGTTAGCTATAGTAATTACTTTGATTTACTATGATACTTTACACTACACTATATGAGGATTTTGAACCTCAAAATTTCTTAAATGATGTAAATTATTGGAAATAGTATGTGAATATACATGTACAAGTAATATTTCTATTTGATATTAAAAATGTGCAGGTATAAATTGGAGAACATAGAATATAACAATCTGCAATCCACAGTAAAAAGACTTTGATTTACTATGGTAAAAACTTTGATTTGCTATTGTAAAATATTACCTACTTTAGTTAACTATAGTTTACGATAGTTAACTGTAGTATCATTTGTTAGGACTGTTTCTATGAGAGAAGTGTTAACAGAATAATGAAGATCAAGAAGTGTAGAGTACATACTGTAAAAGTATTACATTTGGCTGTGCATTCTATTTAGCGCCTTTCGCGGAAAGCAGCCTTCGCTAAAACAAGTACATTGCCAAATGTTTTGTGTATACATGTACATGTAAATGTTCATGTAAAGCAAATTCAAAAGAGCTAAATCAGATCTTTCCTAACTTGCTGAAAATTCAATATCCGCCAAATATAGTACATACCATATAAAAAACATTTACAGTATTATATAGAATACGAAGGATCTCAATGAAACCAACTTTTAAAGATGCAATAAATGGAATTCTGTAATTTTTTTTCCAGCAAGGTAAGATGCTACCCTCAATATCCTATCAAATGCACAATAGTGAAGTAACCTCGATTTTTAAAATGGCCCTGAGTGGTTGAATAGTTCAGAGACTTTGGGGGTTTAATTTCCAAAGATTTTAATTGTTTAATTTACATCTATTGAAGTTTCTAATCAACAGTTCAACATTCACGTACCAAATCATTAATTGTATACAACATGAAGCTAACATTGACGGCGACAAGAGATGACGGACGAACTACTGTAGAGTAATTTCCGCTGAACAGCTCACTCAAAAGTGTGGCTTCTAGGTCTGATGTGTACTGGGGAAATCCGGGCGGTAACTGCATTGGGAGTACTAGGTAAAAAAGAAATAAAACTTCAGCACTGTCTTATGAAATCAATTTTCAATTCCTTATTTATGAAATACAAAGCAAAATATATCATCAATATCATCAACATTTGATAAGTATGGCCAAGAATGGTAAAGAACGTGAGGAAATCAAGATTTAAAATGCATATCTTGCTATCTAAATCAAAAAGATTTTCTTTTGCAGTAAGTAATAACTTCTCATTCAATGAAAAATAAAGGTATATAATATGGTTTTCCAAATCTTCAGTATTTGAAATTATATCTCTACTGACAAATGAAACTTAATTTCAGGAAGAAAACCACGAATCTCTGGAGATTCTTTTCAATAATTATCTTTATATGTAAATGAAATTGTATATTTTCCTACCTAGATGTACACAGAAGACGAAAGTGATGATACTCTTCTTCCACATTATTTTCACAAAAAATCAGAGGAATCCTGGAAATTAATCGTCATCATATGTTTAAAAGGTACGTAAAAGAATTCAATCATAGAGAAAGAAATTTATATCTGACTGTTCAGGCTTAGGCTTCTTATCTGCTGTTATGCTGGGATACACAATTACATTATGTCTCCCTTTCCACATCGTTTTTCTTCTTCTTCTTCTTCCAAATTTTGTACGGACCGTAACTTAAATAACCATTGACATTAAGACTTCAAACATAGAACATAGATAGATGACATTAAGGAGGAGTGGTGCATGCCTTCAAAACTTTTTACCTTGACCTATTTGTAAGGTCAAGGTCAATCTTTTACATCAATATAGCGTCCAGGCCATAACTTGAGATTTCTTTGCTATTAGGACTTCAAACAAGTAACATAGAAAGAAGACAATTGATACAAGATGCACTGCATCAAAATACTGACCTTGACCCCTTTCTTCCCTCAAAGTCAATTAGAGAAAAAAAATGATTAGACCATAACTTAAGAATTCTTTGTTATAAAGACTTCCAACTTGGAACATGCAGAGGCGGTCTGCATGCCATCAAAAATTTTGACCTTGATCCAATTAATGAGGTCAATGTCAATCTTTCACACCAAATAGAGTCCAAGTCATAACCTGAAAATCATTTGATATTAGGATTTCAAACTTGGATTTCAAACTTGGAACTTTGATTGGAAGACCTTGATACAAGATGCAATGCACCAAAATATTGACCTTGACTCCTTTTTCATCAAGGTCAAATTGAGAAAACATGACTAGACCATAACTTGAGAACACTTTGACATTAAGACTACAAATTTGAAACATGCAGAGGTGGTAAAGAGGAAGGATGACTGCCAACTTTTTTTAACCTTGACCTATTAATAAAGTCAAGGTCAATCTTTTACATGAAAATATAGTCCAGGTCATAACATGAGAAGTTTCTGACATTTGTATTTCAAACTTAAAAAAAGAAAGACAACATAAAGACTAAATGCACTGCATCAAAATATTTGACCTTGAACGCTTTCTTCATTCAAGGTCAAATCAAGAAAAACATGGTCAGACAATAAATAACTTAAGATCCTTTTGACATGAAGACTTGAAATTGTGTACACAGATCGAGGAATTAGAGCTGAGATGCAGTGCATTATTATTTTTGACCCTGATCGCATTATTGCACTCGCTAATGTTGATAAAGAAGATAAGAACTTTTTTTTGTTAAAAAAAAAAAAAAAAAAAAAAAAAAAAAAAAATACCCACTAGTTTATAATAAATCACTATAATTAAATTCATATGTTTGATAAAAACGGTATATCGGGGTTTGTTTGTTTTTTTTTTTTTTTTTTTTTTTTTTTTTTTTTGGCAGGTATCCAATTTCCTATTTGTTGGACATCATTTCGTAATCACGGAAAAAATTAAACTAAATTAGGTACCAATTTTTGTTTTTGTAATACATGTAGAGGTGTGTCCGTTTGATTCTATGGTATTGTGAAAGTACTTCAGTTGAAGTTGCTTTCTTTGTGATTTGATTCACTCCTACATATTAAGCACAGTTGACATCCTAATAATTTTTTCAATGTTAAAAAAAAAAAATTAGAAAATTTGTAACGGTCAACTGTGCTCATTGGAGTGGGGTATAAAACACGTTAACACTAGCTGGTACACACTACTTAAGGTCTGTCGATTCTTAAGACGAGCCATACCTGTAGTTTGTACCGTCTAGTACTAACCATTAAAACGGCTTTTTGTGTTTAACGGAGGGACGAATGTTTACATTCCTTTCATGAATCTAACGTGTGTTGACTTAAAAAAAGTGTTATATCTTTGAAGTAAATGCCAGTTTTCAACTTTTTTTCTTTGTTTAATCAACTTACAAAAAGGTCAATTGAATTTTTTATATTTAAAGCTGATATGAATACAAGTTGGAAATCATATTTAATAATTGCCAAAAATGTTACGTACAATGTTAGAGCGTATTAAAAATCATTATCCTATACAACTTAACACGATTTCTTTTTATCTACTATTGTCACACACATTAGGAATGGGTTACTGGGTTTAAAGACGCAAGTTTATTAGATGAAAGTGTGACAAAACTCGGAAAAAGTGCATTTTGTGACACATACATTTTTTTAATTGTTTGCATATTTTCATTCCCTGACTATATCCTGAATTATATTTTTACTTTTATTTTGAAAAAGTGAAAATTTGACTAATGTTAATTCTGTTTAAACTAATCTGGTGACAGGACGAGTAAAAATCTGAAGTACGATACATCTAAATTAAGGGTGTACATATTAATAGGTACAGAAAGGGATGATTTTGTTTGCTTTCATTAAGAACAGTAATACTAGAAAGAGGGGAGTATTTCATGCAATTATATTAGGAAGAAATATAAAAATGTAAAGAAAATAACTTACTTATTGAAACCCAAACTCTGATTAAGTCCACTCTATCTTTTTTCTTTCAGAACGATAAATTTTGTATCTCACATCAACAACTTCGAGTGTGGCAGTCTGAATTTCCCGACCTCTTGCTGAACTTTTAAGTGTACGAATTGTTAAGTTAATCACGATTCAGGATAGTTGCTTATCATGGAATAAAAGAGTAAATTATATCCCCAAGCATCAGATGCTTTATAAAGAAAAGCCCTGCCCCATGATGTTTGGAAGCATCCATATAAATAAACAAAAATGGTAATCTTGTAGATAATTTTTTTTTAATCCTTAAATGTTGGGAAATACACTTTTCATCAATCTTTACACTGTTACTTTATCTAAATAATCATCGTTCATGAATAAAAAGGTTTAAAAAATATGTCTTTTTGTTCAAATAATGGTCAATGTCCTTGGTTATATAAGCAGTGAAAAGGGTAAGGAGTTTAATCATTTTTAACCTTCTGTCATGAAACGAGATTTAAATAGATGCTTTGATTTTCATGTAAAGACTATTTTGAAGTATTTTTTTAAGTTTTTTGTTTGTTAATCCCTCGATTATCTATTTTAAAGAATGTTTGCATTTTGGTGTATTTAAGGAAAATGACCGCGATATCAATGTTCTTCTGTACAAATAATTATAAAATCTTGTTCATGTTTTGTTAACATCGATGATTTCTTAAAAAATGCAACAGATACTCAGCTAGGTTTAGATAGGCAGGAATTTATAGTAGTATCAAAATTATATTCGAAACAAGAAAACAAGAAATTTAATAAATATAGTTCCACTCAAATGTCAGTAAATATCCACAAAAAATTACATGTATTATATGTATTATCTTTTTTAACATTCATATTTTACATGTATTCTAAAATGCAGCATCTATTTAAATAATTCTGCGTAGAAACAATTTTCAAGAATATTTTTATTACATTTTCAGCAGCTAAATACTGTTATTTATTACATTTTCAACAGTTAAATACAGTTAAATATTGATATTTATCAACTGAATAAAAGTGATCTTTGAAAGTGACATTTTGCACTTTGACGATTTTCAAAATTAATATTTTTTCCTAAAAATATCAATATGCGGGGAAAAAAACTCGAAATTTTCATCCCTTTACGAAGAATAGAAAAACATCAAAGAGTGTTATTGTAAAAAAAAAAAAAAAAAAAAAAAAAAATTGAATTGTCTTCGAATATCTGGGTGTGATCGGTCGACACTGAATGTTAACTCCTCAATAGCACCTGATCTGACCTCTGATATTTTCAGAGATCGGAGTTTCCTCTCCTTACTATTTGTTTTGTTTCATTGGACATTTCACATTTCATCAACAGCTGTAAATTTACGCACTTTAACAACTATCCTCTATAAAACATATACAATTGACTACTGTTTGTAACAAGTCAATCATTTTAACTGACTGCTTTCTTTGCTTTCATGCTGTAATTCATCATCAATCTGTTTCCGTGACAAGAACTGCATAGCACTGTAAAAAAGATAATAGTAGCTAATGAATGAGTTAGCTTTCGGTTTGCCACTTTAATTGAATTTCTTGAATGGATGACGATGCATGGTGCATCATTTTGGATGATCTTTCAAATACAATAGATGAGGTCACAAATATTAAACTGAAGCAGAATTAATTTGTCAGATATTTTATTCCACAACGTCATTATACATGCACTAATGGCAAAAAGTATGAAGATTAAATGTAAAAAAAAAATGTATGGATTCAATTTTAAATGAGATTAAATCAATTATTATAATGATTCTATTGTTGTCTCTATAATGGTACATTGTAAAAGGTGAAGATAACGAACAGTGACCAATCTCATAAATCCAGTAAGGAATACGAATGGTAAAGAGGGCTAAAAAGCGGACCCCTGGAAACACCAGAGCTGGGAACATGTGCCAAAGAGGAGACCCACCCGTGATTTAAAAATTTAAAGAACCCCTGTCTTTCAACTTGCGTCATAATTTCATACATATTATGAATATTTTGGGGTAGATTACGTCAGGTGATGGGCCAAATATGAAAAAGAAGACCTTGATATTTTGTCAGAATGGATTATGAAATGTCGCATTAAGCGATATTAAACCCATCTATCC